TGACTCACCCTTTTGTGGGCAAGGCAGGGGTAAAATTTAGAGAAGGAAGTGGTCATTCCAAGTTGACTCACCCTTTGGTGAGCCACCCGAGGGTAAAATTTAGAGAAGGATGTTGCCAATTCAACTTGACCCACCCTTTTGTGGGCAGGGTAAAATTTAGAGAAGGATGTTGCCCTTCCAAGTTGACTTACCCTTTGGTGAGCCACCCGAGGGTAAAATTTAGAGAAGGATGTTCCCATTTCAACTTGGTCACCCTTTTGTGGGCAGGGGTAAAATTTAGAGAAGGGTGTTGCTTTTCCAAGTTGACTCACCCTTTGGTGAGCCACCCGAGGGTACAATTTAGAGAAGGATGTTGCCATTTCAACTTGACTCGCCCTTTTGTGGGCAGGGCAAAATTTAGAGAAGGAAGTGGTCACTCCAACTTGACTCACCCTTTTGTAGGCCGTGCAGGGGTAAAGTTTAGAGAGGGAAGTGGCCATGCCAACTTGACTCACCCTTTTGTGGACCCATGCAGGGGTAAAATTTAGAGAAGGATGTTGCCCTTCCAAGTTGACTCACCCTTTGGTGAGCCACCCGAGGGTAAAATTTTGAGAAGGATGTTGCCATTTCAACTTGACTCACCCTTTTGTGGGCAGGGTAGAATTTTGAGAACCCTTTGGTGGCCCTCGGGTGGGTAAAATTTAGAGAAGGATGTTGCCATTTCAACTTGACTCACCCTTTTGTGGGCAGGGTAAAATTTAGAGAAGGAAGTGCTCACTCCGACTTGACTCACCCTTTTGTGGGCTGTGCAGAGCTAAAGTTTAGAGAGGAAAGTGGCCATGCCAAGTTGACTCACCCTTTTGTGGGCCATGCCGGGGGAAAATTTAGAGAAGGATACTTGACTCACCCTTTTTTGTGGGCAAGGCAGGGGTAAAATTTAGAGAAGGAAGTGGTCATTCCAAGTTGACTCACCCTTTGGTGAGCCACTGGAGGGGTAAAATTTAGAGGAGGAAGTGGCCATTCCATCTTGACGACCCTTTTAAGTGAGCAAACATGCGGGAAAGGGCCTGTGTGCGCACTTGAGTCTCCCCGATGGACTGTGTGCGCGCATGAGTCAAATCTGTGTGCGCAGATGAGGCGCAAGTGCTAACAAAATGTGTGTGCGCAGATGAGTCAAATCTGTGTGCGCAGATGAGCCGCCGCTTTTCCAATAAAGCCCCGCGACAATTACATTCGTTAGCATAAAAATAAAAACCCTCAGCATAAAAATAGAAACCCTCAGCATAAAAATAAAACCCTCAGCATAAAAAAAAGACCGTTAGCATAAAAAAAAGAACCCACCCAAATCCAGCATAAAAAAAGAACCGTTAGCATAAAGAAAAAAATATTCCCAAACTATATATATATATATAAGAGTCGGTTTAATGTGTGTGCTTATTGTTTAAACTTTTCGGAACCTTAAAAAAGTAACAAATAGATGTTTAAAAAACACTTAAAACAATATGTTTTGTTTAAAGTCGGAGCCTTCAAAAATACAACACATAAAAGAAACAAAAAATAAATATAAAAGATGCTGATTAAACAAAACAGTTAAAACAACAATCATCAACATGATCTATTTGTTCGGAGCCTTAAAACACACAAATACAAATTAAACCAGGCATTCCTCAGAGATCTCCAGATTTCCAGATGATTTAAACAATCTATTTAACAATACTTCAAATCATCCACACATTTCGAGAACAGTTTTTTTTGACCATGCGCGCTGTGAAAACAACAAATGCAAATCATTTGCTGATACAGGCTCGATGAAGGATCATACAAATGCACGTTGGGTGCCTCCCTATGGACACTCAATGTGTCAAGTGCACAAGACTCCCAACCCTCGGTATCCTCTTCCCGGGACTCGTTGCGTGCCCAGGAATGTGGACGCCGCGCGGGCTGGATCCTCAACATACGATCGAATCGACACTGAAATCATGGATGATTTGACACCTCAACCATCTTTCCGGACCTATCTTCGAATACTATTGAAATCTGTTGATTTTTTTTAAATATAGGGTGATGTGATTTGTTTCCCTATCAGGTTTGAACCATCCCCCTCAGGGGAAACTGCTCGTTGTCTCTCGACTTTCACTGGTGCCATACTCCGTTCTGCTCGGAAGTATGGCCATGAGCATGCCCCGTTTGGGTTTCCATACTTGTAAGGCGGGTGGCATCGGGTGGCCAGTTCGAACAAGTCCAAAACTCTGCAGGAGATTCAATTCTGTCATATTTGTTGATGTATTTCACAATATTTTACCATGTTCAGTCGGGGACGCACAGTCACTTCCAGCAACGTTCAACCATTTCCATGTTTCACATCGCAAATAGTTCTTTCTAAAGCTACATTTCCTACTACAAGTTCTCACTTTGATCACCGCGTCAAACTTCAAGCGCAGGCACAGTTGCATGGTGCACTTCGAGTAGGTAAGTTACTGCAAGACTAGATGCACTTCTCCAGGTTTAACGTGAAGTGGTGTTTTCATCGGTTATATGATCAAAAAACATCTTAGTCCGTTACCGCAGGGTATCTTCATGGGCGTTCATTTAGGGATATTGCGAGCCAATCCCATGCCCAAACACTCCATGGGACTGGAACACATGCCTGTGCATAAAATATTCAAAGTCCCCATGGAGTGTTTGGGATGTTCAATCTCACTCTATTGCGTATCACCTTATTGCAGCACCAAAGAGGATCCGGCAAGAAAATCCGTCGCATGGGATCCGGGTTTTGTTCGTTGGTACCAGGTTCCCTAAGCAAAAATCCAGGGCATCATGGTTAGTTACTATAGTTACGTGGATGACCCGGAAAGTCAAGATGAACATCACATCCGAAGACAAAAAACAGGTGGCGCATTCCACGCAAGCATGGATGATTTCAGGAGCGCTATAGGGAATTTTGGTTTGCCGTTTCTAACATGGATTGTAAAGGATTTTGGTGTGCGATTTAAGGGAGTGCTGAGTGTCCACGAGATTGTTGTTCCCATTGAGCCCAGCAAAGAGGTCTTGAAGCCCGCCCGTGAGGACGACCCCGGTGGTGGGAGTGACTAGATCCTGCCACCGGTGGGTGTGCTTCAACCAAAGGCCTCTCACCAGAAGAGGGAAATTGCGGTGTCCCCATGTTTCTCGGCCCTCTCGCACGGCCCTCTAGGCCCTCTGTGAGCTCGGAGCCAACATGGAGACTGCAAGGCGTTTTATCCAGAGCGAAAGGGGCGCAGGATGGCGCAGGTCCTAAGGTCCATGGGCAGCCCAGGCCAAGGGGCCCCATCTAGACATCGATTCATATCAATTCACATCCATTCCGCATGTCAGGAAAAGGTTCTATACTATAGGGTGTCATACTGTAACATTCATGGATATTTTTCTGGCATGTCATTGTCAGCAATTCCAAACATGGAGGGCTGACACGCAGTGACACGTGGAATCGCTCCTCGTTAAATCCGAGTTCTGTCAAATCGATGCATGCGAAGAAGTTCTGTCAAATCCTTGGTTTGTCACACCCAATTCACCCGGAGTTGATGATCTTTTTGTTCTCAGAAACGCCATGAGGACCTCAGGACCTAAACGCCATTGACTGGACACATGGCTGGACACGACCCCGAGGTCTGGGGGATCGGACGGCTTGAAGAACCGAGACCTGACGGAAGTGGAATCATCGTGCAGGGTGGACTGATAGCTGGAAGAAGGGGTCCAGGGTGGACACGAGACAAGTATCATGTCTGGACCACCAGCGTCAAGCTCTCAGAGTTCGGTGACTGAGTTTTCAGACAGACCGCCTTGCAGGAGCGGAGGTCATACGCCGCTGCTGGCGGCCGCGCGCGAAGGACACCACGAAGTGGTGCAGTTGCTTTGCGAGAAGCGCGTCGATCAGGTCGGGCGATCCGCTGCGCCGGAGTGGATCGGAGACCAGGGTCGGAGAGCTGGGAGAGGAGCTGGGAGGCGAGCTGGTGGGGTTTAAAGTTTAAACCATCACGGTTTGTGGGGGATCGAGCTTGTGGGGAGGGATGCTGGGATGATCGAGCATGAGCGGAGTTCCTTATTGATAGGAGGATGAACTTCAGAAGGGGCTGTGGTTACTGTGGGTAGGGTCTGAGGTTATTTGTTAAAAGCTATATGATAGTAATATTATAGTAAAAACATATATTGACTCTATTGCAATCTCCTTCATGTTGTTTTAAGTTTGTTGGTGCATCAGTTCTTGTGGATATGTGCTTCTTGTGTCTTTTGTACCTGAACCTGAACCTAGAAACCACCGCTCTCGAGCTGTCCACCGTCTTTCATCACCTGGCATGTCCGCCGGATCGGACCCGATCCGGACCGGACCAGCGACCATCCGTTCGAGCGGTTTCTTCAGTGAGTGACCCAGCTTGGGAAGTCGTCCCTGTTGGTGGCCTGGAACCGTGACCGAAGCAACTAGGGGATGAAGGCAACGGTCAAACCAGGCCACTGGCGGCCACCAGGCCATTGACTCATGCCACGCGTGGCCATGGCTCAGGAACGACAGAACGTTAAGAAGACGAAGGCGAAGGTAGAACAACGGAGTCTTGATTGTTCCACACAAGACTGCAAGCACTAGATTTGGCGTACTAGCAGCAAATTGACACCACCTAGGAAAGAAAACACATCCCGACCGCAAGAACCTTCCAAGTGATCCTTTATCAGATAATGTCATACGTGGACACAGGAAATCCACCAACCTACCCATATGAATCAAGCCTTTGTTGACCTATATCAAAGGGGGGGGTTGATGAATCCGGTGTCGACATGAATCAATCAGGATATGGGGACCGGCTATCTGAAATTGTTTCGACCACCCCTCCTCACCACTTGAGCAGTCTCCATATCAGGATGTATCCCAGACACTCCATGGGACTGGAATATATGCAGCCCCATTGAGCCCTCTGGCACCACCCCTGGCCTGACCGGCAGTCCTATGGCAGTCCCATGGGTCGTGTCTGGGTACCGGGCGCGTGCGGGTGCTCGGTGCCAGGAGCGCACAGCGAATGGTTGGAGCCCCTTGTTGTTGGCCGCACGGCATGGGCACACCGAAGTGGTCCAGGCCGAATGAACACGTGGAGTCCAGACCATGTGACCAAAGGAAGGCAACATTCACAGACGAAGGTGAACGACATCACCGGTTGTGTGCTGCGAGCAACATGCAGAGTTGGTGAGTCACTGGGTCGGCCTCCCACCTTCATCCCACTAGTCACAGGGTAGGAATTTGGAAGATGAGGACCTTCAGGTTTTGGCTATGTCTAGTTTTCTTGGGAAGGGAGGGGGGGCCTCCAAGCGTGAGCAGAGGATCAACAACTCCATCAAGGTTCCAAAGGGGTGGCACTTAGAAACTTTAACACATTTTGGCACCACCCCTTGGTGACTCCTGGCTGTAGTGGATATAAATAAGATCAACCGGATCAACCAATGGGATAAAGTCCAGTCCGACTGTTTTCCTTTGGCTGCATTAGTGGTTTCAGCGCCCATGTTAGTTTTCACCGGGGTATCTATATAATATGTGTCATATATATATATATACCTAGTCTAGCCTAGACTAGAGCCCTTTCACATGATGTTTGTTTTGAAACGGAAGCTTGACCATCGTTTTCAACCGAGATATGTACGGTAGACGGCGGAGACGGGGATGCTCATCTCCCATGACCAATGCCAATGACTCCATGGGATTCCATGGTGCTTTTGATGGGTCAAAACCCGAAACACCATGAAACACCGTTCCTCCCTGGACTAATTGTTAGGGGGGCACCGAAACCTCGTTGGGTCCCCCGGTTGCCATACACCAGGCCGTTGCCATGACCCATCTTCGGCCAGGTGCTGCATGAATCTGGAGCAATGGCGATGCAGATGAGGAGCAAGTATAAGCAGCAACAGTTTGGTAAAAGTATATGCAGCTTTGGGTAAAAGACCCAGACACTCCATGGGGCTGGCATATTTACATACATTGGGGTGGTTGACCCGGGGTCAATGGGGCGGCATATATGGCAGTCCCATGGAGTGTTTTGGAGATGATATCACGATTTTTTCACACAAATTTTGAGAGTGTGGCTTCTACCAACCATACCAACAAAGCTCAGGATGCAGCTGAGGTATTGGACACTCGTGGCCCTGTGCGAGGTTTAAGCCCTGCGAAAGTACAACTTGCTCGAGCGCTGTGACCCAGACAATTGCTGAAGCAAAGACAGATAGAGAGAGAGAGAGATGCAGAAGGGAATCCACATGTAACATTGATCGGGACAAGTCCGATTTAAACACAACAAACGGTGGGCAACAAAGTGAAAAACATCAAGTACGGCTATATATAAACATACTATTACAATAATGTTCAATCATTGTTTGAAGTCAGACGTCGACTCATTGTTCTTTCTTTGTTGAAGTTGCTGGGCTCGCAGAGAGGCGATTTTTCCTTGCTTTGCTGTTTAGGAATCGTTCAGAGGAAGAAGCTTCCAACTTCCAACCAATTCCAACGCCCCGCTTATGGTCCACTAGAGAGACCTGGGCTTTGCCCCCCGTATACGAACAAGTACACCAAAAAACAAAACAACACACACACACATGCCAGGTACTGTGCTTGACAAGGCAGCCCTAGAGATTATATCAATTAGACCAGGGCCCCCCTGTCAGGGCTGGTTCATGGACATCCCTTGACCTCTAAGGAGCTATAATTGGACAGCCTTGGCCCCGGGGGGGCCCAGGTATAGATTCTATAAATACAACAGAATACCACAATATACCACAATACATGGAGGTGAATGTGTTTGTTAAAGGTTTCTATGTATAAAGGTGGTCCACCGGAACCAATTAGAGCAATATGCCAGGGGTATCATGAACTTTGCTTCTATCCATTCAATGGGCTATGTCAATCCCAGGTCAACTGAACGGAGGTTGGTTTCTTTATTGGTTTTGATTTTAACTATACCATGTTTATAAATGGCCTCGTCATTTTGGAGGGGCTCTTGGAGGGGCTCGAACCCGGTTGAGCCCGTGCGCCGTCCCAAGGTCCGCAGCACCGGTGGTCCGTCCCAAGGTCCTCCTCAGAAGGTATGACTGGACCCTCCTGGCACCCATTTTTGTTTCTTCTTAGAAGGTGCGACAGGAGCCCTATAGGGTATACACACCCAAAGTGAGAAATTCCGCCTCGTGGATAGACAGGCTGCCTGTGTGACAGGAGCCCTGTAGAGCCTGTAGGGCCATATATTTGTAGGGATCCAAGTACCTTGTCAGAAGGTGATTGGAGACACTGCTATGTAGGTGCCAGGAGGGTCCAAGTACCTTCTGAGAAGGCGCTTGGATCCCTAGGGATTTGAAACCATTGGTTTTGATCTGCAAAGGAGCTTGCCCGACGGCACCTCCGCGCTCCACTTCGCCGCCGAACGGGGCAACGAGACGATGGCGCGCCTGCTGGTGCCCTCGGCGCGACCGGTGTGTCGGGGTGTTGCAACCAACGGGCTGGTTCGCCGTTTTGGGCGAGAACGCGAGCCCACATGGGCCACATGTTTGGTGGTGAAGACCCACACTCCAACAGGTGAGCCCTGTTGGGCAAGCCTGCCGGAGCCCTCGCGCGCGCGTCGTGGGAGGGGTGGGCGACTGATCTCGAAGGTGGCATGTTCATGCGGTCCGGGACAATGACTTGGGCAGGGGTCACGCGGGCCCACGGGCGCCTGATCGGAGCGGGGTGGGCAAGTCATGGGTATGAGATAAGGCCGAAAAGATGGTCCATGGCCTGCTTGGCCATGGTTGAAGTGGATGGAAGGCATGTGGAACAACAGTATGTTCATGTATGTTCACTGGCTTAATGCCACCAGTCACCAGTCGCGCATCTTCCGCCCTGGGACGGAAGATGCTGGCAGGGACGAAGAACTTTTCTGAGCCTTGTAGGTTTGTACTTCATGGCGGATTGGTTTCATGCTTCGTTCACGGCGAAAACATCCGCCAAAAACATCTGCGGATTGGAGCCACACCGGACACCGGCGCGTAGATTCGTGAGCGCAAGTCGTTGCAGCAAGTTTCGAAGAAAATATTTGGCAAAATGCCCCCATGTGGTGAAATTAGGCCTCATATTTCTGGAATGTTCTGGGTATATGCATAAAAACATATATATATATAGAGAGAGAGAGAAAGCAAGAGAGAGGGACATGAAAACAAGTGGATCTAAGTGCGACGTCACATGAGGGAACTGTGTGGAGGAGGGAAAACACTGGTGCTTTTGCTGCTTCTTCCAGGTGGAGTGCCAGATCGATGTCAGTCAGGTGGGCGGAGAGAGCTGGTTCCAGTCATCAACCTGTTCGTGTGACATTGTATGACGTTTGTCGTTTGTTTGGCAGGTCCATCATTGTTGTACGGGGAGAGTGTTGTTATAGAGCTTTTTGCAGTGAATCCCAAACCCCACATGCTCGTCCAACTTGATTTGAGCGATGCAAAGGGTCAAGCCTTCACTTGTCGTCCTTCACTTGTCGCCGTGGCCCCTGAGCGTTTGGCCCAGCTTGAAGCACTGCCGACATGACAAAAGACTCAACGAGGCCAATGAGCAAAACAAGACATCCTCCAGCTGTTTCAGATCCCAAAGGCTTGAGGAGATTAAGCGGGACTGCCAGCATCTCCCATGTTTTTGGCGATGTGACAGGCGTGACAGGCCAAAGGTGCTCCAGGCAACCGTACAAATCCTTTTGGAGGATGATGCCCAGGCCCTGATAGAGTTCGTTCTTATTCCCTTTTGGTGTGAAGACTGGGATGTTGCCAACATGATGCCAGCAGGTTGCCACCTCCCCCTTGAGGGTTGTCAAAAGCTGGAAGCCTTTGTCCCACTGGGGCTCAACAAGCCTTCATAGACTTGCAGCTTGCTTTTTGCCCGTGGTAGACGAGGCCGGGCCCACTCTTGCGTTTTGTTTTGAGTCTTGCTCTTTGCACTTCCCACTTGGAACATACTTTGAGACTGCAAACTGCCGCCTTGAACTTGAACATGAACTTCTGTTGCAACAGTTGTGTCATATTTCGTTGTGGACCGGAACAGCCTTGCCTGCAATCCATCGTGTCCCAAATGGACGACATGACAGGTGGCTTATGGGGTGGGTGAATGTACATATTGGATCATGTTGGTGCCACCATGGAGCGTTTGGGATAGACTGGGGTACACTCTTTGGAAGCATCATGGAAGTGGAAAGCCGCCTGTTTGTAGAGGAACATGGTCATCCAAAGGGGCCGTTTTTCTACGTCCATGAGTCTTGCGGTTCCGTGTTTTCGCCTCGTGACACCTTGCGACCTTTTTGATTGCTCATCCCAGAATCCCGAAATCCGATGGGATTTGAAGCCGTGATCGCGAAATCAGAGATGCTTGATGTTCAACCTTGAGATGATTGATTTCACTGATATTTTTCCATATATGCTTCGCTTCGTGGTCCCAAGCACCACCGGTTCCGGGCATTTGCAGGTGCAAATGTCCGGCCGCGAGAGTGAGCAGTTGCTCCTGTCGAAGCTGTGCGACCGTGGTGCGGCGCTCCAGCCACAGAGCTTGGTCATCACCAAGCCTCTTTGGTGCAAAGAAGTTAAGTTGTTCTCCTGCAGACTGGAGAGACCCCCTTGACTCAGGTCAGTGGTTGGTTTTGCGGAGATGTCAGCAGTTGTCTATAGAGAACTATAGAGATTCCGAGGGGCACCAAAAGCAGACCTTGGTGTGGGTCAGGAGGGAATTCTTTTTTCCACCATAATGTTGACTTTTAATTAGTAATACTTCTCCTTAACTAGAGGGAGCCAATTAGATTGATGCCGCACTCCGTGTGAGATCCGGATCTGGTCGCACCGGGCCCCCGACCCGGTCGGTCGGTCCCGGGTGTACCTGGCTGAAGTCGAACGAACGTGACCGCATGGCCGACAGCATCCAAAGCAAATAGTAATGCAAGAACAAGTCTGCTAGAGTGACTGAGTAGGTCCATACTTCATTCTTGTAAGGGATTGACTACTCAAAACCAGTGTTTGGAGATGTGGGTTCTTCCAGATGTGGGTTACTCCAAGTCCGCTTGGAGAAACCAGGACCACTCCAAACCACCGTCATGGCGGAAGATCCAATGAAACCGATGCTTCGGGCCATGTCCACGGCGGAAGATCCCCTGCTCGATGTTCGGTCAGCGGTTGCGGGGTGACCTGAAAATCACCCACACATGACTAGTAACAAGGGCATTACTACTCGTAGTAATGCCCTTGTTACTAGTAGCGTTCTTGTTCCTAGTAGTAAGGCCAGGAGCCCCTAGTAGCGTCCGTGCTCCTAGTAGCGATGCCAGGAGCTCCTAGTAGCTTCTTGGTACTAGTAGCGATGCACTTGACCCGGAAACCACTTAAATCAGACCATATCAGGTCCCCCAGCAGTGTCTTCACCCACAGAAAACACCTGCCTCGGCCACTCACAGAATCCCATGTGGAACCGTGTCATACCGTGTCCAACTGACTGATTCATCCCGGATGCCTCACTACCTCCCACACCTACCCAGTCAGTGGTTAACCTGGGGACACCCCACTCAACAAGGAACGAATTAGAGTTCGTTCAGTAGATCCGGAACTCTTGTCCAGGAATCTCCAGCTCAGAAGTCAGCTCAGTGTGCTGGGGCTGGTTTGTTCCCATTGTTCACATCAAGCGATCTTCCGGGCACACTAAACATCCAGCGCTCCGCTCCGGCGTTCCGTCCGAAACAAAAAGCTCGCCAAGGATCCAGCAGGGCTACCACACCCGCAGCTATGCCGACCAGCTGCGCAGGGCCAAGCGTTTGGCGTCCGCACTGCAACGCTGGGGAGTTCGGATGGAGGACGCCGTGCCCTGCCGTGCCTGGAGGGTTCGGCATATCAAAACCACCCCAAGATTCGATGTTCTGACGTGGATGGGACGTGTGGGTGAAGATTTAGGCGGTCTTCTGACCTGCCTAGTAGTCTTTTGCGAGAGATCAGCAGCCAGGACAGCATTGTTCCGGCAAAGGTTTCAAAGGGGAGAAGGCTTTAGATTGTTTCTAGAGGCTGCATGGGAAGGATGTTCATACTATATATCCTGGTGGGCTTATCATGTTTCCCGACTTCAAGTGGATGACCAACAATCAGACAGCCCATCTACACTGTAAGATGCTGGACGTACTGTAAGATGCTGGACGTACGTCCCGTGTACCAATGTGTTTAAGGGTGGTCCATCATGTCATTGTCATTGGTCTCTTTGTCGATTTGCGGTCGCCTTACGGGCATGTCTTTCAGGTTTACGCCCGAAAACGCGGCGCAAAACTTGCACATGTCGAACAGTGTTGTCGAAGAGAATCACACAAGGATCATAGGAACATAAACAAAGGCCCATGATGCCCTTCGCAGGAGAGACCCAAGCATGTCGTCCTAGTGTATCCTAATGCTCATTCCACAATGCCCGTTTCCTGGCCCAGCAATCTCGTTTTGGTTTCAGGACCGTGTGGCAACTTTGATGTGGAACTCAGGCCATGAGGGCAATAGTATGCTATAGTTGCAGGGAGGTATAGGTCTCAAATTTAATAATTGTTTATAACATATAGGTCTTTACAATCCCTGCTCTTTGCTGCGCAATCCCCTACAACTACTGGTGTACTTCTTGTGTGTTTGTTCATGTTGGGGTCCTCCAAAGGAGTTTGCCAAGGGTGGAGTATTTGTGAATCATTGTAAGCGCGATCTATATACCGTATACCTTTGCTTTGAATTGTTCCGACCATTGCCCCTATTAAACAACACGACCCCAGGATTTAAACTTGGGAAGAGCTTCAAAACCAAAAAGTCGCCTAGGGCCTAGGACAATAGAAATCGTTTCTTGAACTCGTACAAAAAAGGAGAAAGCCTGTATACAGATCGAAGGTTCCTCCTCTTCTCTTTACACAACCTTTATTATAAGAATGATGCCATAGTGCCATAGTGATTCTTCGATGTTCTTTGTTGTGAACTTTCCCTGAGTTAAACATTTTGAAAGGTGATGTGGCCATGTGGTTTGTGGAAAGTGCATTTGTGTGCCTCCTCGCCTGTGGTGAAGGGCGCACATGCGTGTGTAAATGCAGCGTGTCGCTGGCGAGTGGTACCTACTAAAAAGAACACACGCCAAAATGACCGTGGGCTTGGTTTAGCAGTGGGAAGTACAGGGAGCAGTTTGAAAACAAAGGGAACCTGTATTTAGGCGTGTCCGACATGCCATATTTTTTGGTATGGTATAGTATAGTGACTTTTACAATAGGTACTCACGCAAGGCCAAGAATGCAAACAGGTTGTGAAGCATGGACGTGGAAGTTGTTTGTGCAAGACTGTTGTAGGAGAGCTACTGTGTTGAAAGAAGAGCGTGCAGGCAAGGAATTCCAGCACAAGGCAAAGGCCCCTACTCTGTAACTATACAGCAATTAATCTTGATTATTAGTCGACATCTTTTGGGGCTTTTCCAGTGATGCTGGGGGCTTTCCTTTGTCAACGGTTCTTGGGGTGAACGGTGATGCTGGGCCATCCAGTCATCGCACCGCACCGTGCGCCAGTCGGAACCCGGCAGTTCGGAATGGTCCCATCGGTGGATCAGGTCAGGCGAGGTCCCATCCATCCCCGGGGCCACAAATCAGTTGGAGGCCAAATGACTCTATACTAGACCCATCGATTGCATGAGCAGCTAAGATAGGCCTGTTTGGGCCCGGTCGATTGGGGCACCGGTCGCCGGTCAAGGCTGGCATTTCGAGTGCTACCAGGCCATTAGTTGCATGGGAGCATGTCTCCACACTCTGAACCTCAGAGACTTGGACCGAGCGACTGGGAGGCTTGGGAAGGGCTATGATGGGCTCTCAGGCCGGCCTTGGACCGCATGCACCCATCGACTGGGACTTGCTGGGCTGAGCGACATTCAGTTGTTGGACAAGTGCATCGGGTCTTCCCCTACAGAACAAAACAACTGGGTAAAACAAGGACGACAAGCCAGTCAGGTGACAGTGAGACTCTTCAAGACTCTTGAAACACATGTTAAGTTAATTGTTAAGTATTTTGAGGGCCTCAGTGTTCTGAAATCAGTGGACATCGGGGACTTCTTTGGACAAAAATAATAATCTTAACGGTGTGTTCCTCCGCGTTGAGTCATTGAGGACTGGGGCAAGCAGACTTGGGCTACATCATCCACCATGCTCAGGCCCGCGGTTTCTCGCAACGACTCTGAGGAACCGGAAGTATGTTGAAAGGTGAGGAGTAAGGGAGCAGCAGTGGCGAGTCTGACGAGTGGTTTGAAGCTGCAAAAACCGGCTGAAGCAGATTTGTTTCGAAGGTTGAAGTGACCAACGGAGACTCTGCGGCCAGATGTTGGGTGGATTTCACCATCCACGTCCTCAGCGGAGCGTGGAGTTTCTCAGTTTCTCCATGGAGAAACCACTGAAAAACCACGGCGTCCCTCTTCTACCAACCCACCTGGTTTTGCTTAGGATGATCTTATTATTTACCCGACTGGTGAATCTCCTTTTGGGAATTCGGAGAATGTGTTTATTTTGTCCGGTCCGCAAGCAAATCCAAGCCCAAACACGCCATGTATGCCATATTTGCCTACATTGGGATTGTTCCAATGTTGGCATATATTCGATGGATTTTCATGGAGTGTTTGTGCAATGGTTGGTTGTAGGTGGCTGAAGTATCAACAGTGATTCTTGGAGCTTTTCCCTCCAAAGGTGACGCGTGGCTTGAGACCCATTCTTCAGGAGATACCAACGTGCATCGCGTTGCGGCAAGCCGCTCGCTGAAACCGTAACACTTGAAGCAACCCAGTCCCCAGAAATCATCCTGGCCAACGTGTATGAGAATACGGTCCCCAAATTCTGGAACAACCCTTTTCAATCCGAAGTCCATGTCCGAGGTTGGGAGGCTGTATGGGATGCGGCCTATTTGGCTCTTCCACCTTTCTAGGTTCATTGGGATGATGTCAGGGAGTCTCAGATTCCCCTTCCGGCAGATGCATCTTGGCTTTGCTCCGTGTCCAGCGAAGTGACACGCCACACGACCCCCCCAGCTCGAGTAGTCCACTCCCTGGTCAAGTGGTGCGACTGGAATGGTATAAGCTCTTAGCTCCTGCTGTTGGCATTGGGGGGAGAGCCAATGCTCAGATTCAGATGGTTTAGTTGTGTCGGCCAGCTGCCAGGACCGTATCATTTTCGTGGATGCCAATCTGATCCAGCTTCTTGAGCAGGCGGGAACGGAATTGCCAGAAGTGAAAGGGAGGTGAGACCTAGAAGTCCAGAAGCGGCCCGTATGTCCTTTTGCGTTTTTTTGTATGACAGGTAGCGTCAGCTCGTTAAACCTTCCCACAAGCCCATAGTTCTTCCTGCCCTTCTCCTGGCTCCCTATCCCCTAAATTGGGTTCACGTCAATGTTCAGTCCAGTGGCGTGGTCGAAGTGGCATCTCCAGCTGGTCGACGCCATGTACCCTAGAAAACGGGACATGACACTACAAAAAAAAAAGCAGCTACAACTGGGGTGGGTGGCAGGTAGAGAGAGGAGCTATACGACCAGAGCCCCGCTCGGCAAGGGATTTTTTTGCCTTTGGAACTCCCCGCTCGGCGACTCCTCACGGTGTGTCGACTCATGTCCTGAAACAGTAGATCCATTTTTTGTATGACCACCGGTGGCGACGAAAGGAAGGGAAGGGAGGGTGCTGATTCAGAGACGGACACATATGCATTTTTTTCATATATACTACACAACATTACACATAAGATATCGTTCACAAGCAAGTGAATTGAACGTGAGAAGAAGCGAGTTGACTGTCAGATGATTGGTTGACACTTGTTTCTTGTTTGTTCCCCCCCAAGAAAGTCCCAGACATCCCCAGACTTCTTTCGCCAAGTAGACCTTCTCGTCTCGCCTCTCCGAGCCTCTCGCCAGATTTCGCCCTCGGATCTGGCCACCGTGGAGCTCTTCGTGTGTGCGGGCAGCGATGGGGAAGCGAACCAATGGAAGAGCAGCCAGCTGGCACCACGGCTGAAGGGTGGAGGCTGCCAGGGAGGTTGCCAGTGAAGGGCAATTGAAGTAAAGCATATTGAACCAGTGAACCAGGACAGACAATACGGTTTGATTGGAAGAAGTGACAGTGATTTGATATAGGGTTTCAGTGCCTGCATGCTTGCATGCTTGCTTGCTTGCTTGCCTGGAGAATTAACTCGATCAGATTCTGAGATATCCAGGGTCCACCCTGAGTTGTGGTTACCTAGTGGTCCTTTCTTTGCTAGAGAACTGACCTGCCCTCGGTGGATCAAATCAAAAGAGATGATAGATGCGTGATTCAAACTCCATTGCGGAGTTCTGCCAGTATGCTAGCAATGGGTAATACTTCTCGGAACGTCCAAAAACATCACACATGCTGAAAGACTTTCGGAAGGGTGAATTCCGAAAACGTTGGAATCTCAGAACATGTTTCATCCATCACCGTCAGCATGATTTGGAATATCAAACCCATAATCCCATAGAAGTTGGCGTTGGCCCCCCCCAAAAAGAGGTCTTTCGGGGTGTCTATTAACCACCAAAGTGAGGGGGCTTTGTTAGTTTGGTCACAAGGAATCACCAACTGTCGCGGTTTCGAGAAGGTTTTGAGTGGCGCTTGTAAGATTGGGTCCCTTCAGATCAAGAAGAATTCAGCTGCACTTCTGTCATGTCACGAGTAGCGCATCTGACAAACCGTAAATAAGAAACATGTGGAGACAATGGTTCTTCTTCTTCATGCCAGCGGTGAACTCAAGCCACAGACGTATTGCTTCCCTTTATTCTGTTAGGACGAGAATGGAAAAAGAACTGATAAGATTTGCGATACCGTAAGATGCCATTTATATCAATTTATACCTTATGGCCTACCGCATGATGGACATATATGGACATCTTAGAGGTGGTTGTATGACCAGTGGATTATTGAAACTCGCCTCAATGATCAGACTGTAGCAGTTGGGCTGAAGGCCTCAATTGTCTTTTTCATGGTTTCATTTACGTGTGAGTGCCAATGCATCCCTCTGACATGCCACAGTGGAAGTCGGGAGAAAAGCACTGGTGCTCACACTAGAGCATGTTCAGGATGATTCAGAGCTTTGGTGCCTCGAAACAGCTTTGTACCATGGACCATGCTGAGTTTGTTGGAGAGAGCTCTACCGACCGGTGCAGTTTAGGAAGGGGTCATGCGGCCAACCCTGATGGCGGCCGATGCCACTTGTGTAGAACGGCCTGACACCATATCAACTGGCAGATGGCGCTTGAGGAGGATAGGGCGCCAAGAAAAACACAGTAATACCGTATAACTGTATAACTTCAACACCTTTGATTTGATTCCAGACCTTGGCGGCGAGCTGGAAGTGAGGTGTGGGTGCCTGACGTCGAAAAACAAGCACGTTCTTGTTGGGCAAAGCACGCGTTTGGATTTCATGCTGGAAGCTGGCGGTGGACAATGCAATGGAGTTTGTGGCGGATGTGCAACAAAGAGAGTTGCTGAAAAAACACAGTATTGGGCAGATGCCACATGTCATTTGTGACCCGGATGTGGTGCCACCATGGCGAAAGACTTCAGACGGCCTCCTTTCGCGGGAAGACGGCCTTTGCGAGTGAAGCCTGAGACGTGGACCGCTCAGAGCGACACTGCCCGTCTTGCCCTGAAACTAGGGCCAGGAGAGTTTCTTCTGACTGCAAGCAAAACAACACAAACTGGACGAGTCTGGATGAGGTGAGCAAAGAAGCCTTTCTGCTGCGGAGTGGACATCGACGTGAACAAGGGTCCACCATTCCATGGTCCGGTTGCTGGCCAGTATCTAAATATGGGTGCATGTAGTGGTGCATGACTTAGAGCCTGCCAACTGAGGTAAAGAATCTTTGCCAATCATCACTTGCCTATGGATGGGGTTCCCCAATTCTGGTATCAGTGCAGCGTTCAGTTTCCCAGAAGCATCAACAAACTCACTCATGCGCGACGTTTTGACGTGTCAAGTCAAGGAGTCTAACAGTCTAACGGGTCCCCCACCCCCTCCCCCCCTTAAGCGGTGGGGGATAGTCCAACACATATCGAATGAAAACCGTCCGAGCTGCGTCCGGATGAGTCAAGGACAGCCGAAAGACCATCGACTACGAGGCCTTCTTGAACTCGGGCCACGAGGACGGGTCCGGAGGAACGTGTTTGGGTTCTGGGTTCTGGGTCCGAAGAAGAAGAAGAAGAAGAAGAAGAACCAGAAGCAGAACAGAAACAGAAACAGCAACACACCACATGTTAGCTGTTAGCGCCTTGCTTCACTTGGTGATCAGCTTCTCTCCGGGCTCTGGACCCCCCCCAAGATGGTGGAGCCCATGGACCAAAGTTTAATGTTTGGGGCTTTCTTTGCTGAAGAAAGCCTTGGCTTAAAACCATTTCTCCGAGGAGAGTGAGACTCGATCCTCAGATCGATCGGAAAGTGGCGACACCTTCACTGGCCCTGTAGGTGTCCTGACCCCAAGGCTCGCCCCAAAGCGAGCGATGCCGTCCGAGGTTGTTCACTCGAACACCTGCGGGTTGCCGCGGGGGGTGGTACTGTCCGTGGTTTCACAGAGGAAATGCATGAACATGCCCTCCAAACACCCTCCACCAAGTGGAGCCAGTTACTATAGCCTATAGCCAAGTGGTTCCAAAAGACTCCCGAAAACGAATCCACCTTCTCACCGTTCACGGTGAGTGGTACCCTGGTTCCCTGGTCCCTGGCTCGGAACCGTGGCTAGGAATGGGATCCATTTCCCCCTGTCACACCCAGTCGTCCCACCCGGCGAGTCGTCCGACCAAAGGCGGGACCTCGAGCGACCGGGTCGAGGACTACCGATGGCCCGCCCTGGCGGACAGCTCGATGATGGGGCTGTGCTACACCTCGGGCACCACTGGAAAACCCAAAGGTGGAGTGTGGGGGGGGAGTCTGGGGAGGTTCTTTTTCGCGAAGGGTTCGGAGGGTTCCAGGAGTTGACTGAGTGACGGGCTGATGGGCGAAGTGATGCGAACTGGCTGGTGACCAGTGGGGGTTTACAATGGATTGCAACAGTTACAACCCCCCCGACCATCTACAACAGGATCGTTTTCAGCTTTAATATGGACAGTTGGTTCATAGAAGCTCTCATATTCAAGAAAAGCATCTATAAACATGTACGAAAGATATAGGAGATGCTTGACCCTACGGAGTTGAGTGAGATGGACATATGATGAGCTACGGCCCATGAAAAGCTGGATTGTGTTGTTGGGGTAAGGGATTGCAATTGATTGGGTGCATTGGATGGTGGATGATTGAGGACACGGTAGGATAATGATGGTGGGTGGTGGTTGACTTTCAAAGAACTCAATGCCCTGTGCAACTTCCACCATGACCTTTCAAAGAACCGAAGACTTCGACCAAAATCACATGAAAGATCACCATTCTGATGTTTCCGATGTTTTGGTTTCCACCTTGAAGACCTGAAGAGTGAAGTTGACCGAGCTGTGCAGCCGTTGGATCCTTACATCTCCTGGCACGGAAATTCCTCTACCAAATGAGGCAGCCAAGTTCTGCCAATTGCGACACCTGGAGAACTTGATCATTCCTCCATCTTTGTAACATGATTTGTATCAGAAGAATTGGGAGGGGGGGGGTGACCACCTCAAAAAAAAGGTGGTTTGCTTGGGGCGCAAAGTAACGAACTCGAGTTGCGATACCTCGGTGTGCTTAGTGTGCTTGGCAGGTGCTGCATATAGCCAGCGGTCCACCTACTTGCACACCTTGATGATTTGTGGTGTCGACCAGTCGCTTTGCTCGTGGTGGGTGTTTGGAGGGTCAGGAAGGAGGAAGGAGGAGGGCCTACTGCTACTGGTGATGAGCAACTTGAAAGACAAATTCTACCACATCTACGCGTGGTTCATACCTTGTAATAAAGCCGGCGGAACACTTGTACAACATATTTGGAGGTAGTCAGTGATTAATGTCGCATCGCAGCATTGTTTGGGTTGACGGAGGCGCTGGTAGTTTTATTAGGATTCTCTACAGTACAGGAACGGAAAAAAAGATGACAGCAAAAAGGCAAAGACGACACACGGACTGCAGGTGAATAATGTTGAGGGTTTGTAGGTAGGAATCTAGGCTTTCTTCAGCCAGTTGTATGGGCATTGCTGCTTGTGGCTGGCTTAGGTTGGCCATCTCTTCTCGAGAGGTGGTACTACCGTGTCTTGGACGTGGTCACGGATGGGGAGAGTGAGGGGCTTGGCTTCCAGTTCTGCGATAAACCAGTGAAAGTGGCTCATTTGTATACATATCCCATATGCTCCATGGGACTGGAATACATGCCTACATTGATCCCTCTCCAAACCACCTGAAATGATCGGTAAATACGCCTGTCCCATCAAGTCGTGTTCGGGGGTGTTATTTCTGATGTGGTTTTATCATTGCAGTGGTTTGAAAGTAGATGGCACAAGCGCCCCCCAAGTTTGGTGCTTCAAGACCAGGTAGTCATTTTTTTCGGAGTCCCAATGTGCAGGTCCCGGACTTGCTCCAAATTGATGCGGGTTTATTTCACAAAAGTGCAGCTAAGAAAAAGCAGATGCGGAAAACTGGCGGCCGGTGAGAAGACTGCTCTTGATGCCCTCCCTTTTTTTCACTCCTTACTGCTGTAGAGAAGAGAGTCGCAGCCAATGTGTTCCTCTTACAACCTCACCTCAGATCCCTACCACCTTCTCCCCTCCCTCTCTCTCCCTCCACATGCCTCCTGCCTCCACCGGCGCCACCAAGGTTCGTTCCGATGTTCCATGTGCTCAGTTGGGGCATCCCCTACGCTCTCCTGATGACGGGCTCGCCGGCCGTCTTCACGTCCCACTTCACCGACCCAGGAGACGGGCGGAGAGAGACGCCGACCGGGCGGAGGGGTTGGAGGGAGGTGGGTCAGGCGTTGGAACGGAAGGGCGGCGAGGAATCGCGCCTTGCTTTTTGAGGGGGGAGGGTGGTGTGATCAATTCTTTAACCAAAGCTCAGATGCATCCATGATGCATCATTTGAAGGAATTGGTTCCTCTCCTCCAATGACACCCAAATGATTGTTGCATGACTCGGACGTCAGACGTAGCTCCAGGTCTTTAACTCTTTTGGGATTTGGAGCTCCTGCGCTTACTTATGTCACACCATGTGCGCATTTCACTGCCTTGCGCGACGCATCGCGATTCACAGAACCTAGGAGCCATGCTACAGATGATGATGGACTGGGGAGTGCATGTCTCTACCGGAGTGCCAGCAGTTTGGCAAACTTTGCGGCAGCACATCCAGAGCACAGGCGGTATTCTGCCGCGGGTTGGCAGTCAAGTAAGTTGAGCATGTTCAAAGCTATACCAGCGGAACTGAAGATACTGGTCGGATTCAATTGGGGCAATGTCCAAGCAGTGCCTTCTCACTGCTTCAGATCGCGGCACGTTGACACACGTGGCACCCAGGCCATCGGCTCGAGCCGTCGGTGGCACCCGGTGTTTCACGGAGGCTCGCTGGCGGCAGTGCAGCCGAAGATGAGACTGCAGCGGCTGGTTTGCGGCGGCTCCAGCCCACCAGCGACGCTGATGCGATGGTTCTTAGCACCTTGGTCGATATCTCTCTTTCAGACGATCCGTGTGATGCGATGGTTTCCATTGGTTGCCTACATTCGGAGGTGTTTGATGGTGAATGTAGGTCATGTCATGAGTCATCTATTATATTTGCTTACATTGATGTGTGGGTTTGTGAGTTGGAGATGAAGACACCAAATTGAGGACGGCCTAACTGTTTGAAGGAATCATCCATGTTAATCTTCTCGGGAGTATGTCTAAAATGGGAGGACCTCCAATGGCTTGATAGGATGCTCGAGAGCTAAAGCCCTGCTTGGAAAGACGCAGCATGTTGCAGTACCGGTGTCCTTAAGCCTTAAGCTCCACTTTGTTGTTACCATTCACACGCCCCAACAAACTACACCAGCCCACGTGCAATCTGAGAGTGTTTGGAGGCTACTATACTACTTAGGCCGACAGCAGAAGCTTACAATAAATATTGACACTCATAGACACTTCCTGGTAGAGGAACTGTTCCCAACGCCCTGTTTCTCAGATATCGACACAAATGGCATTTACCTTCCCCATGTGTGACACACACACACACACACACCGAGATAGAACACGGAGATGTGACACACGGTGCCACATGTTTAGGATGAGCTGGGTGTTGAGTTTGTTCAAGCATCTTGGCCGTGTTTGCCGAGCTTGAGGTTGGGGGAATGAAAGCGTGAGTTGGGCGGCGCAAGGGCGAAAGGTGCAACACCCCATCACCCGCTTAAGGGCAATCAAAAAAAGGTCCCTCCCCTCCCCATAGGGGTGGTGATTTCACACCCAGATTTGTGGCAAGCTTTGACTAGTAATTAGACCATAGTAGACCTTTAACAGGTTCGGAGTGTGTTTTTTAATCATTGCTGTAAAACTAGATGCGGTGGTTTGGTCGGTTCTTGAGGCCAACATTTACGCCAAAGTGTTCGAAGCTGGTGAGGGAAAACACTTGGCGCAAGGTCTTGTACTAACATGGCTCCCTGAGTCTTGGATGGGAGGGCATTGCCTCTGACCATGCGAGGTGGCCCGGTGGCCCCAACTCCGGCGATCATTTGAACCAAGAGTACTGGAGAGGGGGGTAGTGAATGATAGGGGTTACTCCTTGGTCCAGCAAAGGGAACCTATAGGGGGTGCAAAGGCAGTCCAGGTAACTTTTGGGGTTTGGTTGGTTTAGGGCTTGGTTGGTTTGGCTGGCTTGGTTTTGACTTGTTTAAGCTTGTTTAGGTTTTGGTTAGTTTGACAGGCTTGGCTTTTTCTGGCTTCCTGGACCTTCTCGATCTGTTTTTTCCGGTATTTTTCAGCGCACCCGGATCGATGGGCAAACCAGCTGGTTTCTGGACGTCCCTCACCTCCTGACTCTGGTGGCCTTTGCGACTTTCTCCAGTCTGACATGGTTTCTTGACTCCGGTGTGACTCTTCTGCCGGCGGAACCGTGTGATAAACCACTGTGAAAAATGTTCAGTTTCCTGACTTGACCCTAGAAGTTTTTAGAAGAAGCCGTTTGTAGGTCCTTGACCTTATGTGTGTGCCAGTGGGGAGTTCTTGACTTTCTCTTCAAATGTCGCGAGGCTTCATGCAGGGTGATATCCTCACTCTCAATGGTTTTTACATGATTTGCATGAAAAGCATCTTTTCAATGGTGACGTCACACTCATTGATGGCTTTCTAAACTGCTGATGAACAACACCCATCCTACGAAGACCCACACCTGCCGGGTATCGATGAATACACCCTGACTCACTAACATGGAGATGAACACCCTTTGTTTGTAAACGAACGTAATCTTCCAAGGGAGTGATGTCCACTTCCATGTGATATGTTCGTCAGAGTGTCTCGGGCATCCGCTCGGCCAGCACCGTGCTGCTCCAGGTGTGGGGCATGACAGAGACCAACCCGATTGGCTCGGTCGCACGGCGCATTGGCAAGGTGACGGATCTCGAGAAGGGCGCCTTGGGTGTGCAAAGACGGATTTCTGCCTGGAAACCCTTGGAGTTCAGGTTTTGAGCGAAGCCAAGGTCTAGGACTTGAGTGGGGTCTATGAGGCTTACGATGTTGACAGATTGCAAGCTTCCTGAGTTCTGTTGATGTTACTCTCCCTGGAACTAACATGGTTACGTGGAGTTCACCCCCTGTCGGTAGGGGATTTCATGGTCTTCCGATCTGCCAGGGAGTGTAGTTGTGTCCCGCCCTTCACGCTTTCAACAGCCAGTGGCGAACTACCCGGCGCGCAGTCCGTTCGTGCCGAACTCGTTGAACTCCGTACGGCGTACGGTCTCCTTCTTCCCGCACCTGACAGGATTGGAGATTAGTACGATGGATCCTTAGATGTTGGGGGACGCCTTTTTATAATTATTGAGTGCTTTTGATGTCCATGCTGACTCCCCTGCGATATTCAGGGTTCGGACTTTGTCATCGACAGGAAACTGCTGAGACATTTTCGTTTCCAATGCTCATGTTGCGCCCACTGTGTGTAGTTGTGTCGGATAAGCTGGCTTGGGCAGACGGCGGTGGTTACTGAGCCTGCAGGCACTGCTCCACAAGATGGGTTGGCTCGTCCCATCAGTTTTGGGTCAACCATCACTCCTCACAATTGCTTGAGATCCAGGGACTGCGCAAGTCCGTTAGAATCAACAGGGAAAGGCAACAACAACAACTACTACTATACGACTATACTAATACTAAGTGGGCAGCTTGAACACCGGACTGGACCTTTGGGGTACAGTGCGATCTGTTTTTCGCTGAATTTGAGGCAAGTTTGTTCGTGGACATATGCTGCGGGACATGCTGCAGCTGTGCAGCTGTGTGCTTGGGTTTGACGTGCTCCTGGTGCTGTTGGCTTCTTTGCAATGATTTTGGCATGGCTGACCTGCTCAGCACGCTGATTCTTCCCGGCATTGTTCAGTTCCTGCCGCAACCTTTGGAAGGCTAAATCTTCAGGCTCCTTCTTCAGGAGAAGACCTTTGAGGCTCCTCTATTCTGTTTGAGCAGGGAGGTTCTCATTGGAGAGTCAGAAGAGCTGCCGTCCAATCTGGGTTTCGTGTTTGTGTCCACTTTGCTTTCCGCTGCTTTTCGCCATCGGAGTTCTCAATGGCCTCTACATTTCCAGCCACCTATTATTGCTTGGACGATGATGTGGGCGATGATCGTTTGGCAAAACATGACGTATGGATGGCACCACCGCTTGGCGACTCCGCACCAACACTGCGGAGCATCCGCCAAAGTAAGTGCCAGCTCCTCAACGCTTGCCACCACCCTGGGCTTTCTTTAGCACCCATACAAGTTGAAGCACGGCACATACAAGATACTTAATGAGACGTGCCTTTCTTGTCCGGGCTAGAGTGCAACCCTCAATACAAGCAGTTTGCTGTCCATAATTTGGCACCAACAGTAATGAAATCGCATACACCTGCAGGTTTCTGACAAGGAAAGAGACATTGAGTGTGTTTTCCTTCGCTTCTTTCAAATTCATTCAAGTTATTGCTGTTAAGTGTGAAACAGTTGTATGTGCTAGAAGTCCAAGGACTATATTTTGACTAGTATTTTGACTGACTGAAGTAAAGGAAATTCCTTTTCGGGTCACCTAAAGACCATTCCTTTTTGTGACTTCACCTGGCGAACGGGGTTCCATCGTGTTCCATCGTGCTCTCTTCCGCAAGTGACGACCCACGACGACAGCTTTTTCCGAAGAACGCAGCACGGTGCTGCGCCGCAGGTGTCGACGACAGCTTCAACAACGTGAAGAAAGCCGGCCTCCCATCGCCAGGCGTGGCGGCCGCTTCGTGGCGGCCAACGGCCGGGTTGGGCGGCGTGCATGATGTGCATGAGGGTTTTGACGGCCAGCTAAAGAGCTTCTAAGAGGATTTCTAGCCGGGAACATGGCTTTCTAAAAAGTGTTGAATGATATTGGATGTGGATTCTTCTTTTTGACGGTGGGACCGTCTCAGTCTCTATCATCGCCGCCTGTCTTCACCCGATCCCGGATCGGATTCGCCATGGCAAGTGGGCCATGCATCGACGACTGGGGTGAGTTTCCGGGCGAGTGCCATGACCCGCAGCCAACTGGTGAGTGCCATGACTGCTTCCTCAGCTGATTTCCTGGGGGTCCTACTGCAGGAAGTGGTCCAGCTACTAGTATAATACTAGTATAAGTGCGATAGTAGATAATGGGCTCCCTTTTTTTCACCCTCGAACAATGTTTTTTTTCACCCTCCCTTTTTTTCCCCACCCTCGAAACCTTTTTTTTTTTTCACCCTCAAGATTCATTTTTTCTCACCCTTTGGAACCTTTTTTTTCCACCCTCCCAAAACCTTTTATTTTCACCCTGCACCCTGTCATTTTCACCCTGTAGCATGCTTCTTTCACCCTTCACCTTGTTTTTTTCACCCTCGACCCTTTCTTTTCAACCCTCCGCCGGTGAAGCAGGTATCCCATGGAACCTGCACAGAGAACGATGTCACCTCCGGTTTGTTTCACACCGCTTGTCCCTGCACGTGCAAACCCTTTGTTTTCACCCCAATAGCTTCTTGTTACTAGCCCTTCGGAACCCTCCGGAAACTGCGTAGAGACTGTCCGGAACGACGGGAACCGCCGGAAGCTGACCCGGACGCCTCCGGAACGTGAGGCAGCACAGGATCCATCCATCCGTCCATCCATGCATCCATCAACGGAGTGCCAACCAGCCGACCAACCAACCAAGCAACAACGCGGCCAAGCCAACAAACCCACCAAGCAACCAACAAACCAAGCAACCAAAACCGCCCATCCCGTAGCGCTGCGCCCTCCCCCGCACCCCCTCCCGCCTTGACTTACACAGCATCCGTCCGTCCGTCCGTCCATCCATCCATCCATCCATCCATCAACCAAGCACACAAACAGAAAAATTGCATATCCATCAAGCACTGTATCACGCAAGCAATCACGGCAAGCAAACCAACACACCAAAAAGTAACATTCTTCCCCCTGTCCATGATCCATCCATCACTGTATGTGTCTTCTCCAAACCCAAGCAACCGACAAGTCAAGCAGGCTGAACCAACCAACACAACAACCAAAGGAAGGAGAGTTAAAAAGAAAGGGTGGGTAGCCCACCAGCAGCAAACAAACCAAGCAACCAAACGTTTCCCCCAAATGCTGTCGATACTTGCTTTGCATTGGTAGCCCACCAAGCAACCAACAAACCAAGCAACCAAAACGACACAACCCTGTGTGATCCCACATGCTGTCGATACTTGGTTCGCATTGCGGGGGAGGCGCTGCGCCCTCCCCCGCAACCCCTCCCGCCTTTATTTACACTCCATTCCATCCATTTATGCATCCATCCCCGCCCGCCATTATCTACAGACCATCCATCCATCCACCCATCAAACAAGCAAGCAACCAACAAACCAAGCAACCGACACCACGCAACCCTGTTTTTCCCCAAATGCTGTCGGTACTTGGTTTGCATTGCGCGGAAGGCGCTGCGCCCCCCCCCCGCACCCCGTCCCGCCTTATCTACACAGCATCCATCCATCCGTCCGTCCATCCATCCATCCATCCACTGTATCACGCAAGCAATCAACAGCAAGCAAACCAAGCAACCAACCCACCAAAAAGTTTATTTTTCTCCCTGTCCATGATCCATCCATCAGTGTATGTGTTTTCCCAAAATCCAAGCAACCAACAAGCCAAGCAGGCCGAACCAACCAACACACCAACCAAAGGAAGTGGGATAAAAAAGAAAGGGTAGCAACCAAACTGTGTTTTCCCCAAATGCTGTCGATACTTGATTTGAATTGGTAGCCCACCGAGCAACCAACAAACCAATCAACCAAAACCACGCAACCCTGTGTTTTCCCCAAAAGCTGTCGATATTTGGCTTGCATTACAACAAGCTAGCCAACCAACCAACAGACCAAGCAAAGGAAGGAGGGTGAAAAAGAATGGGCCGAGGGTCAAAGAAGAAAGGGTAGAGGGCCGAGGGTGAAAAAACATGTTCGGGGGTGAAAAAAACAGGTTCAGAGGGTGAAAAAGAAAGGTGGAGGGTGGAAAAAAAATGCGGGGTGAAAAAACAGGGTTCAAGGGTGAAAAAAGAGGTTGCCCGTATATATATATATATAATTGGGTCTGTCACAGTCTGTCCTATTAAACTTGTAACACCCTGTAACAGTCAGTTAGCAATTGTCACTATTTTTGAACAAGGCCTTTACTAACCATCATCATCAACTGTTACAGGTAATAGGATAGACCCAAAGTATATAACTATCTGATGGAGAGAAAGGGGCGGGTTTCTTCGGTTTCTTGCTGCCCAAGGGAATGGGTCATGGCAGGGCTCGAAGCGGATCAAAACAAAACTAAAGCAATCGAAGTTGTTGCCCTCGCCGTTGCTCTCTGTGGAGATCTGGGGTTTTCACACACCGCCCATAGCAGTGACCTGAGGAACACAGGTTCCGCCGTGTTCCTCACGAGGAGCTGTGCTCCTCGAAGCTGGTAATGCATCGTCAATGCACATTACCAGTATACTTAGTTCCTCCGTGCAGCCTTTGGCTAGGTGGACCAGCACAGCCACGTTCTATATTTCATGGGCCAGTGACATTCTTGACTTGAAGGGCAGCAATTGCACTTGTGGTCGCCACGCGGAAACCCGCGCGGTTTGTGCCTTTTGTTGTCCCGTTTTCGATCTTTGGGGGGGCTGATTGTGATTGAGTGTGAGCAGCACTATCATGCAATATCTCTTGTCCAGCAAGGGTTGCTTCATTTGCTTCCAGGGTTTAGTGCCATACTCCTTTGCCTCGAGGCTGTTGCTGGATGTCCGCCTGGTGGGATGGATCCTCCCAGTAAGCGTGGCAATGTGGGTGAAGTCAGTAGAACAGTAGAACGCGTGCCACGGTACTCTGAGGTATATATAGAACATGTGCAACATGACCATCTGAAACTACCTCACAGCAGCTCAATCGCAAAGAAAATCTGACCTGATCACACCGTTTGCGCTGGCTACGCTATTCTCTTGGGCTTCTCTCAGTGTAGACTCATAAAGCCCCCCAGTGGCCTGAAGAGGTTCTTCCATCCATGTTGATTCATAACTCCCCCCCAAATCGCCTGGAAGAGGTGGACCTGGGGGGGTAGACTTCGACTCCGAGCTCACAGGCGTCGAGGTGCGGATCGCCCAGCTGGACGATCTCAGCCGGGACGTGGCGCCGGGCGAGGCTGGGGAACTGCCGCTTGGAGAGGAGGTGGGTGGGGAGAGCTGGGGACTGGCGGAATTCAGGAGTTGGTGAGAAAAGGAACGAGTGAGTGAAAGGTGTTTAGCAGAAGCTGTCCAATTTTTGTTGGTTTTTTTAGGGACCTCATTCCTGGTCATGAAGACGTACATGAAGTGAACATGAATGAACACCCAGGAGAAGCCTTGGTGCTAAATCCAAGGCCAGTGTTTTGTTGTGTGTGATCGCTTATATACAAACAGGCACAGAACAAATTGACATGTTTCTTATTATATAGGTATACCACAATGACCCCACTGGATCATATCGAGCAAATGGAGGCTTCGGTTATCATTGTTTTTTGTTTTTTTATCTTAAAGGTTGGTTGGCTGTACACAACTCGGCTGGCAGGAAAGCGCAGCTGGCAATGGGAATTCTGCCATGACTTGAATTCGCCCACCTAGTGAACTTAGTGTGCGAGAGTCGAATGTGCATTTGACTGGCTTTGGCCCTTTCGGCTGCAACAAGGCAAGGTTGCTGGTGTTGTGCTGAGTTGCAGGATGCTAAGGGGGAGACCCTTTGGCCCCATGGTTTTCGGTACTTTCCTTCGAACCCAGAGGGGCAACCGTGCCCGCTTGGGAAACCCCTTGACTGGAGCCCCCCCCAGGGCACTGGTCAGCCATGCCTATAGAGGTGCCGATCGAACTGAGGCTGGTTCGAGGCCCTTGGGTCATCCAAGAGTACTACGAGGCGCGACTCAACGGACAGACCTGCGATGGACAGACCTCCTGAGAAGCGGAGGCGCGACCCATGATGCGTGGAGGTCATGTATCAGCTTTGAGGCCATGGCCATGTGATTGGCTGACGCTCACATCGTGGAAGCATCACCGGTGACATGTCTGGATCTTCGCAGATCAGCTGACGCTCACAAAACCCCGCGAGCGGACTCGGCGAGATTGGGGGGTGACCCGGGGAGAGCCTCTCAGGTTGAATGCCACGGTTTTCGATGGTTCACGCCTCCCCTTCGCTCACACTCGGGTACGCATGACCTGTTTGCCAACGTCCATGTCCGGGAACCGGACGTAGACCCGATGTCCACATGTTTGTTTGATCACCGCCCCACCTGTTTTTCAGTCAAACCTTCGCAGCTATCGTGTGCATTCACTCGACATCACTTACTTGACGATGCGAAGATAGCGAAGCGCCTGACAAATCAACTCAGCCGGCAACGGCTCTCCTTGTTGTAAAGGGAAGGTGCTGTTGCCGGTATCTCGACATCCCTTGAAGAGCACGATAAGCAAACAAGTCTTCCTGGTGGATCTTCTTGCAAGAATGATCGTGATGTGGCTCAGAACGGAAGAGGACCTGCTTTCCCACGTTTGCCGTTTTAGCCGCATGTTTGGGTCAGGTCGATGCCAGTGAGAAGTTCTTCCAGGGATGGCTCATCACCGGCGACGTGGCGAAGCACCTGAACAGCAATATACAGGAATGGAATGGAATGGACTGCATTGCTGGCAAATGCACGAGTGCACGAAAACAAAACAGCCTTTTTGAATCTTTTTGATTGATTTATCTTTTTTGTGGACCTGATCTGGTGTGGGGGCCTTTCCTTCCAACATGTCCTAGTTGGATGTCTTAGAGTGTTAGAGCATCTTAGAGCACATCAAAGACCAGGACTGGACTTGCAGGGAAAAGAGGTTTCATTCGAAAGAGCTATTCACTTGTGGACTCGCAGAACTGCCCACCTGAAGTAGAAGCGGCATATCTGGGATGACAGGTCATGACAAATATCATGACTTGTTGTGGTGTTTACGCTGCACACCCGGTGAACGACCACTTTTTTTGGGCTTGAAGCACATTAGATGTCGAGCATGGCATGCTGCTTGCAGCATGACATGTTGGTTCACCACGCGTCCAAACTTGTTCGGTGAGGGGTCCCTGACGCCCAAATCACATCAACCCTTCACTAGTAGTCACTAGTGTTTCTCAGTCGCTCACACATGCCGTTGGCAAGGATCGATGAAGAGGGGGCGATCATCATCAGTCGCTCAGTTGGTATGCTTGGCGACGTCGCCACGCGACAGCCGCGGTGAATGAAACCACCCAATCGGCGGTCCCAATGCTGATGACCGTGTTCCGAATCCCGGTGAAGGGAGGGGTCACACGGTTCAAGACCAAGCCGTGAATCAACCGAGCTCTCAATTCACCCGCAAGGGGGTGTTATATTGGGGGATTCATTCATCATCATTCATCAAGAGATCTACAGTTGAGTAAGAGATGGTGAGGTTTGCATTGATGGAGATAGACGCACCACGAGTTTTTTTTTTTTCAATTTTGGTGTGTATATGATTTGTTTGAAAGGACAGGGCCAACAGTGCCCGGTGGAAAGATCACCATCGCTTTGTTGTTACGTTGCTTTGAGGCAAAATCTTCTAGGTTCACGGTTCAGGTTCATCTTGAATGGTCAAGGAGCGCACTATCCCCTAGGCTTCCGTTCGACCATTCAAAGAGTTCGGTTGACCTGGTTGCGTAGTGCAAAATCCTTAGTAAAACAGCTGGTGCTTCGGGAGTCAGGCCATTAAACCAATGGTTGGCCAGGAAGCCTAGGGTATCCCTAGGGCTCAGACGTCGTACCTCCTCACCCTCGCCACCGCCCTGAGGCGATCGCTCCAAGGACGTGATCAAGTCGGGCCGGGAAGCCCGAAGCACCGGACGTGGCGGCGGCGCCCGGCCCTACCGAAGTGGACTCTTAGACGATCTCTTAGACGAAGCCCCCGCATAGGAGGATTGATATATACAAAATAAGGATATATATCAAATCAATAATATAATAATGTTTAATATATATCAGAGGTTCGTTAATCCAAATGGAGGGGGGTTCTCAATCAAGAGGCACAGAAGTGTGGCCATGAGTTCATAAAGAGAAAGCATGGGAGGACGCATGGCCACGAATATACTCTGATTCATGCTCACGCCCCTAATTGCGCCAACCCAGGCCATACCTTTCTCGCAATCCCAGCCTCAAATCTGTTGGTCACTCTGAGGGGGCGAGTGGATCTCTTCCATTGACATGGAGATGCTTGGACCGGCCGTTGATCGCCTCGGGCCGAACCGCTTGGATCCGCCGTTCGAACCGCATGGAGACCGCGTGGCGAATCGGACGTGAGGACGGAGGATACACCGCGGTTCTTCTTTCTTTTCTATTCAGGTAATGAGATAACCCGCGCAATTCCAGGAATCCATGTCGGACTTTGGCTCCCTGTTATGGTAATTATATAATATTATATATATATATGTGTGTGTGTTTTCTCAACGTCCTCCTGGCAATTCCTGGCGCGTGTTTGTGAGATCAACCAAACTGACTCAACTAATATATGACCGGGCACATCTGTTGTTGTTATCACTGGTTTCTGGACTTTGTGTCAACTCTACCAAGTGTGGTGTGTGCTAGTTGATTGCGGTTGAATACCCTGCGGTTTCAGGAGTGACTTAGTTTTAGAATGGACAGGAGGCCAACAGTGATTTGGATCAGTGATGTTCCCTGCATGGTGTTTTTCCCTAGGTGGTGGCTGCTTCGGTTCATCCAACGATTACTCACGGCCTCTTTGGGCCCCAAACGGACGGACAGCCAGCAGCCTCCGGTGCCCCGGCAGTCAGCCCGCTGTCTCCCTTGTCAACTTGTCTCCCCTTCCGCCCGGAAACGCCCAGCCTTTTCACCCGCAAATCCTCTAGCTTTTCTCTTCCGCGTCTGCACGCCGTGCGGAGGAACGCGGTGTGCGCCATGCCGGGCATTTCCCTGGCCGCGGTGGTCGCCGTGCCGCACCCTCGCTGGGATGAGCGCCCCGTGGTGGTGGCCGGGACACCCGGTGGAAACCGGAGGGCAACCAGCATGATGGGCAGTCGCCAGGTGAAGGTTTGTTTGTTGGTGCCTCAGGAAGTTTGCAAGTTCAGAGAAGTGAAGACACCTGCAATGAGGAGAATGGCCTGGATTCAGATGTTGTTTTGTTGGAGCAAGCTCACGCAGCAGCATCAGATCTACATTACTGGTTTGAATTCATCAGATTGCATCCCTCTTTTACTGTGTGGGGTCTTCCGTTTGGGAGGTGATTATTCGCCCAGGAACCACATAGGAGCAGTTGGGCCATGGTGGGCCATTGGGTTTGCAGACCGTTTTCGTCCAAGCAGCCTTCATTTCACAAGAATCCACTTTGGACAGTTGTGGTTGTTTGCCACTTTGGACAGTTGTGGTTGTTTGCTTCTCGCAACTCAGTTCCCCTTTGGAGCATAGAAGATTGATGTTGCCATGTTGCCTGGCTGTCGCTGCGACCCACACCCTGGCTCGCATAAGGTCATCCTGGACAAAGGCGTCAACACGGAAGGCTTGCTGGACAGAGTGAGGGAGCAACTCGGCAATGTTTTTTCCGCGGGCTAATGACAGACGGGGTAGGTTAAAACACATGACATGATAGCTGTGCCTACACTCAAAGTAAAAAGGGATGGCTCTTGCCCTTTTTCCGAGCACCAATTTTATAAATAGAATTGTTTTTCTAAAGAGTGAGGTGGAGTTGGGGTATTTTGAGGAAGAAGCGTGAAAATGGGGTTGGCCCCCAAACCAGTGACATGTAGAAAAAGGGGTTGGCACCCTGATTCTATTCTAGCAGGCTGGTTTGTAGATCAGAGGCAAACGGAAGGGTAGTGCCCAGAAAGGGTTTTGCAAAAACCTATTCTACTAACATCGTGGAAGGCGTGGGACATTCGTAGAACCCAAGGCTATTCGTGGACAGTTCGTGGAATGGTGGGCCAGTAGGAGAACTGACTGCAACGAAATTCCAGAAACCTTCGCAGAACTTTGTGGCAGGTATTTTTGATGCACTAACTTCGTATAAGCGATTTTTGCTGACCCCCTTTCTCCACACACCCTCCATTTAGCCTTCAGTAGAATCGGTCATGTTTTGAGATGTTGTGCATTGTGGCGTGTTTGGGGATGACACTTCTTGCTGTGTCTCAGAATTGAATAGACCAGTGGCTGCACCAGGTTGCGAAACGAAACGCATGGGAAGGATGATTGAGCAGGAGTTTGAATCCTCCAAATCATCTGTAGGAATTAGAAATCAAGATGTTGAAATAAAATGAGCCATGCCAACATTTTGCTTCCTAAAGGGGTTAGTAATGGATTACCTGAGACCATGTTATTTTGGGGAATTGGTATGCAGTGATTCCACGGTGTGCTTGACAAAGATATTCTGCAGTTAGACTTCCCCCCAAAAAAGAGGTGATTCCCACAAGCTTGCCATCAACATGTTGAGTCACAGATTGGAACATTTCGAATTCCGATGCATTCAATGGATTCTTGCAGCAATTCACACCCTAACAAATCACCGACACTCATCTCAGCACATCTCAAAGCCTTGGCTACCCTCAAATCATTTTCTAAATCATGGCCTTACCTGATCAAATTTTCTACGTTGGCTACCACTATTTTGAAAGCTTATATTTTTCAACCTTGGTCTGCTCTGATTCTATTTTGACTTCAGCCTTGGCTACTCTCATTTTTTTGAGGGGTTCCAACCCCTCCCTGCAACATAGAGCGGCTATTGACATGGATGGAAGAACTCTGTGGTGGTGCTTTTCCCTTCTTGAGGGCCTAGGGCTCCATTCATCTATGTTCTTGACAAGTTCTTCGAATGCCTTGCATGGTGCCTGCATGAGATCTGAACATGGACTTGCCCAGTCCCAGTCGGAAGGTTTCCTTTGGGCCTTTCCTGTTTACAGGGGTTTCAGAGTAGATATCACAAACCGCTACATGTCCTTTAGATGGGGGTTGATATAAACCACCGAACTTGGGGGCCCTTGCGCCATCTACGAACCCACTGTACCTGCAACAGTTGGTATATAAACAAGGACATCACTAGTTTAGAGATGTCGGCCTGCAACCAAACCATCATCCACTGAGCCCTGGTAATGGGATAGATCATCTAGAACCCAGATATCCTCCAGGAATCAGGCCGAGGTCAACAAGAAATAAGCACGTTGAGTTTACGTGATATAGAAGGGAATTAAGCAAAGATCTTGTTCCACATGTGCCACGACCCTGATAAATATTTATTCATTCAGCAGCGCCATGATGCTTGGCTGAAGCATGTTCAAATCAAACCGTCTCAAAGCCCTTAGTTGGTGCCTGAGACCCCGAGCGCCCCGAGGCACCTGTCCTCTTCCTTTGCCAAGTTCCAGCTGCCTGACGATGTGCTGGTGCCTGGGCGTGTCGAATCCCGGCCTCCAGGGGGCCGGTGGCGAAGCCGACCTCCAAACAGAAACTAGTTGGTTGGCTCCACGTTGGGCATTCTGGGATGTCAATCAGCCTAGCCATACCATAGGCGTTGTTTTCTTCAACTGTTTCACGGGTGGGTTGTTTTCTGTGGCAGATCCATCGCTTGAAAGTGACCGTCCCTGTCAGGCAGAAAAGGCATGGGTTCCCTGGACCAAATAGTCAAAACCCTCAGTTGATGGTTGTCACCAAATGCCAGTTCACCGGGAAAGTTCTGAACCCATGTTCCTAGGAATTGGAATGATGGAGGCAGACATGGATTGGAGCTTCCCCTCCGATGATTCCGTGGGTGAGCCGTTCACGGTGGAGCCGTGCCATGCACGGCAGGTGTGGAAGGAGATCCCGCACACTGGCACCGGCAAGATGGACAAGAAATCCATCCGAGCGAAGCTGGAAGAGCCTCGGCCACTGGCGAGTGGTGGAAAAACCACCGGTTTTCGGGACATTTTTTTCATATATCTTCATCCTGAAAGTTTGGGGCCATGCCATTCACGCAACCACCATGTATGCTTATGTACTGTAATGTATGCTTTATTCATCTCTATTCCTTTCTTTGGAAGACTTGGCAGACTTGGGTCGGAACCACTGGGAGCTTTGAGTGAGATCGGGCAAACCTTCCAGTGGTGAGAAACCTTGCGGGCGCCGTGGAGCACGGCGCACCACCACACTATCACTACCAAGCATCACCCATCCCTAAACGAAAGGAACATGTGCCATTTGGTGGCAGGCGCTTGGTACTTGTTTTTAGCTGTGTAAAGTTTGTCTCCGAGAAGCCAGTGCTCTATTAGATTTTGGGAACAGCCACACACACAAAAAGGTTCACACATGTTCACATGTTTCAATCAAGGTATTCCCGATTTTATACATCTGACCAAAACATTTGCATTACCCCACCACTCCGATACTCCCATGGACGATTTGCCTACACCTTGATTGTTTTTGTTGGTTGACCCAAGGCCCTCGGCTTGGAACGGACGGTATCATTGCTCGTTAGCCCCTAGGGGTCGTGGGAGACTGGCGCCTTCTCCAGGAGCAGCAGTACATTTTACCGTCCCTTCGCACTTCCAAGCTTTGAAGCGCCCGCCGGGGGCTGAAGAAGCGCGCGGCTTGTGCGGCTTGCGCACGAGATGTTGGGGGGATGGATGCGGGGTGGAAGGGAAAATGAGACACTTCGGTTGGGCGGCCGCTGCTTTAAGGAAGATGAGCCTGCAGGGCCTAGAATTTGTTATATAAGGAGATTCTTTGCATGTTTCAAGTGTACTTCTCCTCTTTTCAAACGAATCTATATAGTAGGATTTGGGATCTGGCGCCACCTGTCCACCCTGTCTAGGTCTGAACATGCCACCGCTTCTTCAGAGCCCCATGTGCTGGTCATGTTGATTGAACTTCAGCCCACCTAAATGTAATTAATTGGGAGATATGGCTCACTCAATATACAAGTGAGCCAAAGCTATTTTTGATATGCACTTTTTGTAAAAGGATGTGTCAAAACAAAATCAATTTAAATGAGTGACTGACCTTGTCGCATGTGCGAGATACACAAAATTCCTTGTTGGCTATCCATGTGGACACTGACACGTTCCCCCCCAAACTATTTGGTTATATTATATACTGTAGATGGCAAGGAACACTAATTGTAGTCAGAATGGGTGGGTCGGATGTGTTTGTTTCCGGACGGTTCGATTGGGATGTCCTAAAGTAGCTCCTAAAGAACACCTGTGTGTGGGTTCTATTGTGCCCACCCCGCATGCACCTTGACACCAGGAGAGCGGTGACAGGAGCGCATGGGACATGCTGGCCTTGAGGGCTGCCAGCACACAGCCCACTTCAAGGGTGACGACGCTGCTTCAGCGGTGGCGCCTTTGAAGCCACAAATAGAACATGGCCCGCCATCAGGCGGCAGCACTGGTGGCGGCGCTGGATGAGTACGTCTTTAGCTTTGCCCCCCACCACAGGGATCTTTTTGCCGCTTTGCGGCCTTTGGCCGCTGGATTTGCTTGGATAAAATGTTGTACCACCCCTTGTTTAGGGCCATGTGGTCTCACCCTGCTCGGTTGCAAGCATGCGGGCTGAGTCTATTGTGCCCACACCGCATATCCCCGCATGCCAGGAGAGCAGTGACAGGAGCGCATGGGACGCGCTGGCCTTGAGGGCTGCCAGCCATGGTCTACTTACATAACACTTGCTTCAACCATGCCATGATTTAAGTCGAGTGTTGATGATCTTTCAACCCCCCACATCACAAGGTTTTAAAATGCAATGGGGGAAATATAGGGGAGGGCTTATCAACCAACGAGTCTACATTATTGTTGCTCCCACCGTCAGGCCGGGAGTGGGGCATCATCGAGGCCCGCCACTCGGGTTCACTTGGAGTGCGCGGCTGGTGGGGAAGCTGGTGAACCGTGCGGTCTGAACACTTGGAGTGACATATAGTGAAGTGGCTTACCAAAAGCATTCCAGAGCTACCCAAACCGGAACGCAGGCATGTCCTTGGAATTCCGTTTGGAACCTACCGAGCTGCGAGGTTGACTGTTGATTCAGAACTCCCAACCTTCTTAATTAGTATGAGGGTTGTTATAGAGTCAAATCTATGGAGTGACAATTTCTTTTGGACGTGTTTCTTTCAGAACATCTTGCCCGTTTCGTGACGTCTCCCTACATGGATGGTCAAACATGTCCATAATATGGGCGGCTTTATTTGTCAACAACTAAACCATCAACATGCTTGTGTTCCTGAGTGAAGAAATGCACAAACAAATACGGTAAACAAACAGTAGCATCATCACAAACACAAATTACTACACGCAGAACGATCCAAAACTCACATTGGCAAGCATGTGCTTGACGAAGTGTGTTTTTGTGTGTGTTCCCTTTGATCAAGCCTTTAGAGGCCTTTAGAGGCAGAGGAGTGTGAATCATAGAAACAACGTGTTTTTTTGACATGAATTGATCTATGAATTGTCTCATCAATATTGATGAACTGTTTTAATCCGAGGCCTGATAACATGTTTTGACATGAATTGTCTCATTCTCATGGGTGTTTGGTGGCAGGCCTTTTGGCATAAATCCATGTTCAAGATGCAGTTTACAGTACCATACAGTACCCCAAACTTGGAACTACTGGTGGTTGAACGCCCGCAAAGCAGCCTTTGTTGAGGCAAAAACTCACGCAACAACATGTTAAAGCAAGGTGCTCCTGAGAAGCTCGGCTGCCATGTTCATACTTGGGCGTGTCTCCAACAAAGGGAGCCCCCTCTCTATTACCCCTCCTCGGCGTTGGGAGCCAACTAGTGCGCGGAGCATCTAGTCCGGGCAGCTGCCAAATAGAGAGTGAGTTCTCACAACAAAACACACACAGACACACACAAACGTGGGCAAATACATACACACGCGCACACACATACACACCAAGAAAAGAAACAGTGGCTGTCTTCGGCATGCCCGAACAAGGCCTGCTCCCTTGACCCAGCCTTTTTCAGCCTCACGCGGAGGATTTGCTGTACAAGAATCGCTGGAGTCCAATGATAGGTAGCCCCTTAGCGTTAATTACTGGTAAATGACCCCCCACAGGTAAATGACAACTCCAGGATACTCCAGGTCAAAGCTAGTGCCGATAAGTTACTTCATTTGATACTTCATTTCACCTAGTGTTCATCCCATTCTTTGAACTATCATCTAATATATCATCTAATTATTTGGTTTTCGGGTCGGGGCCAAGGACATCCAAAGTAGTCCAAAGAAGAAATGATGTCAAATCATTGTTCATTTGATATGTTACTTGATCTTAAACATATACATATATAAATATATTTTTAATTGTGCTTGTTGGCGGATGCGTTTGGGATCGTTTTGCATCGTATTGGATTGCGTTTCAGACGGCAAATCCCTGTTTTAAAGTGCCAGTGCAGCTAGATATCCTTTTGAGATGTCCAGCACGCCTGTGCTACATATACAGCCTGAGCTGTGCCTTATTGACAACACCTATTTTTAACCCTCCTTGGCACCAGGCTTGAAGCTGCGTGTGGCAAAAAGGGGCGGAACGGTGGGGCGTTCGGAATGGCTGCTGGTGAGGGGATTTTGATTGATGTCCTTCCCTGGAGAAATCCTCTTTCCGTGACCATGTGATATGTTTTAACAGTGGGGGGCATGGTTTGCGTGGTTCCTAGTTTGCAGATCAGGGCTGCAATCCATCATGATTTCAGGGAGTGCAGGCTTGGAGGGTCCAAACACCTTCAAAGGAGCTTTTCGCAGGCTCCCTGGGCGAAACTGACACCGGCACCCAAGGATTGAAAAAACATGTTTGGAGGCTCAAAGTTCATATTCCCTCCCTTTTTGTCTTCAAAAACAGGAGGGATCGATAAAACACACGGTCCCAACCATTGGAGGTATGGAATCCCTGATTGGTTGGGAGGGCGGAGCAGAGCTTGCAGAACACCCTGCGAAATAGTATAAAGAAAACAGAGCATAAGTAGAGAGAGAGAGAGAAAGAGAGAGAAAGAAAGAGATGGACAAAACTACATAGTTCCAGCACCGCGGAAGGGGTGGATGACACAATCCCTAAGCTTGGTGGTTTCTATTGACCCCCATTTGTCTAAGACATTTTGGGGCGCCAGTGCCATCTACATACGCTGCCCTGAAACCACTGAAAACGGTCCAAAAGGGTCCCAACGGTCCCAACATCGGAGCAGGATGCACTCCGCTTCGACATCCCAGTCCAGACGGCTGAAAACCTTCACAGCTCGGGTGTATCCGCGGCAGTTTTTCCGGCGTTTCCCTGCAAGGTGTTCCCAAGCGATACACAGAGCCCACCCTTGAGAATGGCTCCATTTTGGGATGGCTCCCGAGTCTTAGAAAGGAAGGCATTCTGCTGCACCCAAGCCTTCTGTTCCATGATGTTCCATGCATTCTATGACCCAGACGCTGCATGTTATGGTATATCAGAAAGGGCCCCGGGGCCCGGGGTGGGATTTTTCCGGGGTCTGAACTGGGTCTGTCTGGGTCGGCAGGTCCCCCCCGAGCGGTCATCCCATCAGGCACGCTCCGATGGAGTGACCGCCTTGCACCTCTCGGCGGAGGGAGGACACGTGAGAAAACCCAGCGAACGCTCGCCCTGCTGCAGGAGATGCTGCCAGTGCCCATTCGTCACAGAAACAAAAGCCTACTCTGCTTACAACACTTGCCTTCTTTTCTCCCCTCGGGGAGTTGTTTTCTTCAAGCACACCTGTGTTGGATGCAGTGACCCTGGCTTGGTTTCGCTTCAATGTTTAGCTGCTGTTTGGCTGCGTGCAACGAAGATTCAATTTCTTCTTCGTGTAACCAAACCTGTCAGATAAAGGCCAAGAAGTCCTACAACAGATTCAATAGATTTCAATAGATAGATGTTTCATATTTCCAAACAGGCTCTCCCAAGACCAACCAAAATGGGATACATCATAGACCCCAAACCATGTTTCTACTAGGCTGAGGGTTTCAGGGAGCAAAGCGTTTGGATTAAATGCCAAGAAACGAGCGGACAGGTGGGGAATTCGGGAGTGTGGGTAGTGTGCAATTAATGTAGACTCTTCAATGATATGACATGATATGACATGACATGTCGACCACCCACAGCTTATTATAAATCAAGAGGCTACTACATTAATCTGGGATCGAACACCGCCCTGATGCAGGTCTTGATGGCAATTCTTGACTATAGGAAATTTTTGAAAACTGAAGGGTGTCTCAGATTTACACTGGATTTGAATTGAAACCTAGGTGTGGCAAAGGAACACTCCATGTATGGAATCATAATGGAATGTATTCACATTGACCCCTGAAATCATCCCGTGCCTGATTGGCATGGCTGCCAGACATGGAGTGTTTGGGATGCCCTCATTGGTGGGCGTTGTGCCCTAGGCGTCCTTGGTCGCGTTGCTCTGTGAGGTGTGGAGAGAAACGCGTGTTCTTTTTGTTGCTGGTGATTTCTCCAAGTCGGTCGATTTGGCAGGTGAGGCGTGGAACTAGGAGCGTGGAACTAGGTGATCAGTGATCAACAGACCCTGTGGTCAACTTAAGTTGAGCTTCATTGCTGGGGCCGCT